GATTGCGGTATGCCTCCAAGGGGTTTGGCTCCTGGAGCAGCCAAGCTCGAGCCTGATGATGCTCCATGAACGGATGGTATGGATGATAGACCACCTGAAAGACCATGGGATCTATGCTACTTGTTTCAATAGAATGGCAACTAGGGGGAACTCTTGGCGCTACTTCCGGCAAATCTTCACTTTCACGTTAGTCATCCCTGCGCCGCTGAGGTCTACAAGCAGACTTTCTGGATGAGGCAGTGGGGTCACGAAACGGCCAAGAGGACTGTCCTCTTCAGCAACTCCAAATGGGTTGGAGGGTTCAACCTCGGGAAAATGAGCCGGGCTATGCTGGAGTCCAAAGTCAAAACCACGACTAAATATAAATCCCGTGATGGCAAGACCAGGTTTAAAGGGAATTCCAACTTAAAGGGGACACAGTTGCTTGGCTTTGCCATGCATGCGTTTTTGTTTGCATTCTCCAAGCTTCTGTGAAAGGGTAGTGGATAATTACAGGGGCCGGGGCACAAAGCTTCATGTGTTTGATCCCTGTGGTCATCATAGCCCAGGCTATATCCATGGGGCTTTGTTGCTCGAGTCATTCAAATGAGCCAAGAAGCAAGGGTAGAGGAACGCCCCACGATTCCACATGTTCCTTGGCATCGACACGTCGCAGGTGTTAACTTATAAATTGTACTGTGTGGGCTTCCATTTTGGGAGTGCTATAATATAGGGTATGTTTGGCGCACCAAAAACGGAGCCCCCCAAAACAAAACCAAACCAAGTGCAAGGGAACACTGCAACCGACAGAAGGTCCACTATAGTATGCTTTTCACTTGTACCGACAGGAGCCCCATAGACATGAGATGAGGCTTCAAAACCAAACGGTCGAACACGGACACAAACATTTTGAAAGATGTCATATTTAACCTTTGATGCGCTTACCGTCAATCCGAGGCAGGATCCCAAGACCTTGTGGCAATGTATGAAGCATTGCCGTGGGGTGATCTCTGGGAGGATGCTAAGTGTGTAGAAATTGTGAAATACTTGAGGGCATCAAAGATGCTTTCCCTACCGCCTGAGTGGCGCCAAGTTCTGCCTGGATCCTTGTGAGCCCACTGAACCCTGAAAACTTCCAGGGTCGAGTATGGTAGAGTACTTTTTTTATCGAAAAGCACTTTTTTGGTAAAGGGCGTCCGGCCGAGGCGTCCGAAAGGACGGTTTTAGGCGTCCAAAGGACGGTTTTAGGCGGGCGGTCCGGACCCCGTCCGCCCCCCATGTACCAATTTTCCATCTTGAGTACCTTTTTTGGGGTCCGGACCCCGTCCACACCCCGTCCACACCCTGTGAGAATCTGTTAGAGAATTCTGGAGGCCCCTCCAATGACAAATTCCCATTGTTGGTGTTTTGGGTGAACTATTTGGGAGCTGAACAACTCCAAGATTTCTTGGGTGAATTCCTACCCTTCAAGTGACCCAACTGAGCGACAGGGCTGAAGCACGAAGCAGGTGTACATCTTGGATGGCAGCCTGGTTTTGTCAGTGGTCAACTCACAATGTTAGGGATGCCCTGGTGGATTTGATGCTTTTGGCATCTTTTGGAACTTAATTAAAACGAAAACCCCTGTGTGACGACACGGGTGGCTCAATTAGCTTGTGGAAATAGCTCGCGCAGTATGCGTTTCACTGAGTGAGCTGGAGCTTGCGAAAGAGACCAGGAAACCTTTTGGAGATGCATACCATATACCATACATGATATGTATTTAGTAGCTAGAAGCTACTAGGTTGGAGGCCATTACTACTATAGTAGCTAGAGGTTGGAGGCCATTACTACTATAGTAGCTATAGATGCTACTATACTTCAGGCCAGTGTATACCATATAATACTTTTACTATATATTTTATATACAGTCTCTCGGACTTTGTCGCTGAGTGGTATGCCCAGCAAGCCTTTGGAATATTGCGTAATATTCAACAAGCAGTTGAACACACCTTCTCTGGGTCAGCCATTTTCCAATCCAAGACTTTGTGTTCTCTGCGTAACTGGCGCATGTCACGTGTTCCGGAAAGGCTTGAATCGCAATCCCGGAGTACAGAGAGCCTGGCAGAGGGTATGCAGGCTCTTGGCCAACAGCGTGTCAAGGCGGAGCCTGCAGAGATGAGCCAGGAAGAGATTCAACAACGACTGCAGGATCAACTGTTGGGGTTTGGGTCATGAGATGGGGTTAGCTATTGTCCCCAAGTGAAGCCTCGCCACTTCATTTTAGATTGGAGAAACAGATCAATCATTTCCCAATGACCATTTCAACAGCGAACCCTTTGACCACCTATAGTGTTACAATTGCACGTAAAGACTGCTCACTATGGTTTCTACAAGACAAAAAAAGTCATTTAGGAGGATCTTCAATATGTAAGAGTGGATTCTCAACTGTGAGGTTTGTATATCATTCCCACCAGTATTTATTCCAGGCCTTTGCTAGCCTCTATGGGGCAAAGAAGCCATGTCAAACAAGTGCCCCCCCAAACAAAGCTCTCAAGTGAGACCTGTCCTTGAAGGTCATCATCCGTACGGTACTTTGGAGTTTTTTCCCAAGAAAGGTTGACAGGACACAGCAAACATGACACCTTTTTTATGGGGCCTTGGAAATGAATGGATCTGAGGAACAAACGTACTATAGGCCAAAAGGCTATAGGCTACAAAAAGGCCTTTTGACCTCTTGGAAACCCGCTCACATCTTGAAAATGCTATAGCTTCTATATATGGCCAACCCCAGATGTGGCATCATGACTCCTTGGGGAAGAACAGCCCAAAACAGCCTGATCATATACATTGTGAGGGTCCGGGCATGGCAATTGTTGTGCCAGGAGTTGAGGGAGCTTCGGGCAGCTGTCGACAAGCAGCAGGGGCAACCAACTGAGATCTCCAGTACTACTCCTGACAAAACTTTGAAGAGGTCTAGGCTGGTATCGCCTGTCAAGCCTCTTGAAACCCCTCTTGGGTACCCCGACAGTGAGAGCAATGCGGGCATTGAACCAATTGAGCCTGGCAGTGCCAAACGCCAGTTGTTCCCGGAGGAGCCCAGTGTGCACATCTCAGTTTGTTGGGGGCGCCAAACTGAGGGTTGATCAAAACAAACTGCCCTTAGCGGGCACATACTGAGGATGGTTCCAACGAAGCAAACATATCAGCTGTTTGGATTCTGCTGAAGCGGTATAAACCTTTGCTGCTTTGGGGTTGGTTGGCTCCTAGGCAACTGGTGGAACTCATGAGGGATCCGTGGAAAGCCTGACCAAGTCGCTCGAGTCCCTGAAGATTGAAAACCAGTTGTTGAAGTCTGAAAACGTTGAGCTTAAGCGGAGATTGGCTTCGGATGCGAACCAAGTGGCTCCAAAGGGTGAAGATGGTCTGGGGGATGGGGAACACTTGAGTGATGATGCTATCCGCAAGCGGATGGGCCGCATGTTCAAGCCGCGTGCAGATGGGACCCATGTCACACCTTCAGTCGAATTGTTTTAAGATTCACAACTTTGTATATCCCAAACCTTTACCTTGCAGTGTCACACACCTTTCTTTCTGGCCCAGGACTTTGCAGGTCCCCCAGGATGTATATGATGCATATGTGGCGGGTGGTACCAGTCGAGCGAAACTGATTGAGAAATTTGCGGAAATGGGCTATGACAAGGTGCGCGGTGTTTTTGCATGTCACACCAAAAGCAATCGAACTTCGGGCCTATGGCTCCACACATCCTCAAGCAACTGCTCCAGGAGAAGTTCCTTATCTCTGTCAAGCTTGAGAGCGAGAAGCGCGAGTCCATGACTGTTCGGGTCAAGGCCCAATGGGCAACAGAGGACAAAATGCGAGACACTCTCAAGCTTACAGAGCATCTTGCCAAACAAATAAATCGGCAAAGGTTCTCTACCTCTCTGTGGCGCAATTAGCGGAACAGTAATATCGTATATATTCCATTAATCCCTTAGAAAATGAGAACCGTTTTGATGAGGAGCAAATCCTAGTGCAATTTGGGCCCTCCCTCAGTATCCTTCACCTTATTTGAAAATGGCTGATGCACTGAGGGCGAGAATTAAGGCTGTCAAGGAGTACTGCGAGAAACGTCAACAGGATCACACAAAGTGCCTTGGAACAAATGCCAAGGTAGCTTGAGTGCATGCTAACACTTTAAAGTTCTCTTGCCAGAGATTGGCTTCTTGTTCTAGCAGCTAGCAGTCCAAAAGGTGTCCAGCAAGAATGATCGTATTTTCATTTTGTTTTGGCCCAAAAGAACATGCAATATAGTATCATGCATGGGCTGCATGGGCGTGACTGAGGTTCGACAAATACGAAAACAAGACTATGTATTGGTATGAAGAAGAGCTTGTTGCCGAGTATGAGCAGCAGGTCTCTAAGCGGCGCAAAGAGGAGTCTTCGTTTGAAACCGAGGCGCTGGATGGTGAGCACCTGGCCCGGGCTGCGGCACCCCTTGAAATGACTGTGCAGGAAATCCAAGCCATGAAAATGGGGGAGGGTGGCAATGAATTCTAGTTAAAATTTTGTATGTTCTCTATGTATAGTCCCATGTTGGACGCCCAAATTCTCCAGAAAGGTGGAATTCCAGAGCCTTTGGATTCTGGAGTTCTCTTCGTGGTCGGCTGCGATCCCAGGTACTGATTCGAAGCCTGGTCCAGTTCCTCACCAACCGACTGTGCTTCCACAGGTTCAGAAGAATGAACTTCCAAGCAGTGTGATCTTGAAGTTCTTGGATGGACTTTCAAAACGGATCTCAAAGGTCATTGAAGCATAGCTGAACTCTTTGCAATGTATAAACATGTATGAACTATAAACCATATGCCAGCTTGCCTCAAACATGATTTCAGGACATGAGAGGCAAGTATGAAGCCATCCCAGAAGACGAAACACCACTCACACCGCGCTACTGAACGTGCAATTATATATGCACACAAAGGACATCAAACACTTAGTTCTTCTCTTGCATGTGTCTCTGTCGCCCAGGCTGATCACAAAAATGACCGACATCATCGCCCGCCTCGAGGATTCCCACAACAAGGTGAACGATGTCTATGCCTCTGGAGCTGTGGAGGGTTATGGGAAAGAGTGCCTTGCAGAAAAAGGGTGCGAAGGTTCTATATATAGACTTCTTGGTAACTTCACTTGCCTTGCATAGCCTCAGAACCTTATAGTGCACATGCTCCCTATCAAACTAGCCCAGGCTTGAAGACACGTTGAAGGAACACTACAAGCAAGCTACCAAAACGACGGGGCCTTAATCCTGCTTGGAACTGATGCAGTGCAAATACCAACTCATGGAGGGGTGCCGACTCATGTACCTAAGGGCCCAGGAATCCTTGACGCTGGAATCCCGCTGCAAAGCCATCCCGGTCCCAAAAGCAGAGGCCAAAGTGAGTGCGAAGAGCAAAGCCGCTCCTAAGGGAAAGGCCAAGGTAAAGGCCAAGGCGAAGCCTAAAGCTTCAGCCTGAGCCTTCGATTTTAAAAGCCCCATCCTTCACTGGGCTTGCAGGTGTCTGTAAGATTTGTAAAACCATGCATGCTGTAAAGGACCTTAACCTTGATGTCATGATGTCTAGGTATACCACTATACAACCACTTGAAGCAGCACAGCGTTTTCATGTTGCTTTGCAATGGGTTTTTTGTTGGCACCTGTATCCGAATGAGGGCGTGGGCTTTGCGAGGGCTGAGAGAGGGGGGCTCTCCGTTTCCGCAAGTGTGGAGCGCTGGCTTTAATGCTGCACAGGGCTTGCTAGAGGGTTCGCGAGTGGAGCGCACAGTAACAGTAACTGGAACATAATAGGAGACCAATGGTCTCTATGATTTGTGTGTGTGCGGTTAACAGTTTTAGAGCTCCATGTGCAATATATTTTGCGCTGGCGATTGGCTTGTTGAACGGCTCATAACGGCTCAGGACTGCTTGCCAAAAAGTGGCTATGGAAGCCAAACACATCCTCTCGAGCATTATCAGTAATAAAGCACTTTACACAGTGTGTGTCCATGCCAGGCGTAGAGAAGCCAGGCGTTCTGATTCGCAATCTTGCAATCTCAATGGCTGAAGGGGCTGCCCAACAAAATGTGGCAAGTGTTTGTTGGAAGTTTACTTTCAAGTGCTTCTTTCCTTAATTGAACTTTCAAAGCACCGTGCCCCCTGTCATATATGGGGAAAGGACTGCATACCAGGAAGCCATCTGCCATCCTCACTCGGTTGCTCAGGCTCCTGCTTCCAAGCTCAAGCGGCTGGCCAACAGCGCAGCCCAAGAGATGACCGAGAATGCCTCAGCTGCAGTGGTGCTTCGAAAAGCAGGTGCCGTGTCAAAAGACAACATGAAGAACGCTGAGCGGGACCTTCATCAACTATTTCGATCCTTGGGGTTGTCCTTGCCAATCACACCATGGCCTATGAAATTTGGACTGGCGTACCTACATCGCTTGAGGTTTTCAGATTGGTTCACTTACTTGATGAAAAACCATCCGGAGCTCTTACTTGGAGGTTGCGACCTGGAAAGTGGTCATTACATGAAGCTCCTCCAAAGCTACTGGCAGAATGTTGAAGTTGGGATGCCTGACCACATGGTCTTCAATGTGGACGACCAGCGTTCCCTCACCCAGTGTGTTCCATACTACATCCACCTAGACGAGGGAACGTCGTTGCGCAAGAGTGCTGTAATGGTATACCAAATGCAGCCAGTTTTTGGCCGAGGCACAGCGCTGAAGTTTGCAGAGATGCTCGCAGCTGAGGAGTCCCGCAGCGAATCCGCCATGCACCACCTTATGTCACAAAGCATGCTGCACAATCAAAAGGGAGTGACCTGGAAGTCACGTTTCCTGCTGGCCTGTGTGCCTAAGAAGCTCTATAGCAAAAAGTTTGCCAAGAATTTTGATAGAATCCTTGATGTCTTTTCGGACGAGATTGTAGAGCTTATGGTTAATGGCCTACGGATCCACGGACGTGTGTGGTATTTCATCCCCATGGGATGCAAAGGTGATGCCCCGGCATTGGGGAAGGCCGGACACTTTACACGGACGTTCATGCAGCTTGGCGCTTTAGTGAAATTATCCAACATGTTTTCGCAAGCCCCTTCATCAAAAAAGTGGATTCCTTGTGCTGTTTTTCTTGTTTGGGCTGTGACCATGGACTGCCTGTAGACAACTGTTGTGAGGAACTTGGGCTACAACAAGGGCATCTGCCCTGAGTGTCTTGCTGGCTACCTCGACTACCCCTTCGAGGACAACAGGCGGTTGCCAAGCTGGGAAGGAACCATGGGAGTTGTCAACCCGTGGTCGGAAGGGCAGGAGAGCCCTTTGTTGCAGATCCCTTTCAGGCCCACAGCACCGCATTTGTTTTGGCGGAAGGACCCCTTCCACATCTGGAAACAATCTCTCGGCGGTCATTGGATAGCAAGCTCGATCATTTTGTTGCTTGACTTCAAGGTGTTTGGCCAAAGCAGTGTTGAAGAGGGGCTTGAGTTGGCATATCAGGACTACAACTTCTTTGTCAAGAAGGAGTTTGCTGGTAAGCATGTCTCTCATTTGAAGCACTTCACGCGACAGATCTTACATTTCTCAAAGCAGGAGTCCTTTCCTCATTCAAGGCCAAAGGGGTCGGATGTCATGCTGATCACCAGGTGGTTAAGTGCGCTTCTGGCACGTGGGCCCTACGATCCTGAGAAGGGAGGGCGAAGTGGAAGAAGCCTGGTCTCGCATCCGCCGCAGCCACATCACGCTGAGTTCTTTAGGGCAATGGCAAGTGGTAACAATGCGGCCTTGCAGTTCTTCAGGCAAACGCACACCAATGGGATTTGGCTTCTCCGGTCTGTTGCCCAGGACATGTGTTCAGCTGCGTTCAGCTTCACTGATGCGTACGCCTGCCTTGCAAAACTGTGTCACCAACAGAAGCTGGCAAGATTTCACCTGGAACCAAGCTACCACTATTGGCACCATTTCGGGGTGGAGTACCGCCAGCGTTTGGAGAATGGAGACACCTACATATACAGTTGTGCATGTGATTGCTGCGAAGCTGACGAGGACTTTGTGGGTAAGATTGCAAAAATCTCAAAGGCTGTGCACGCCAGCACCGTTTCTTTGCGGGTTTTGGAACGGTACCTGCTCATGTGCAGAGCGGTGTTTTCCGATGATGACCTCCTCACTATCACAAGCTGATTGGATCTAAGCCCGGCACACAGGTTGGACCGCAGGAAAATCAGCGGCGGCCCGATTTGAGCAAACAAGAGTGAAACGATTCATACCAAAAGACCTTTTTTTGAAAACATGATCCCATAAATTCATGAATGTACCCAAAATCAATGCCTCAAATGCATGTACCCAAAAACGAAGGAACACGGAGGGTTCAGGTAGGCAGATAGATGACATGATAGATGACATGATATTAATGGACCTCTTAAGAGATGCGTTTCCATTTAATGTATCCCGTTCTTGTGGGTCATATGTCATAATTACTTGATCATATACTTTGAATATTGAATATCTGTGTATTAATATGTTAGTGTGCCGGTTAATGTATCTCTTATGGAAAAAACATGTCAATTAGAATCTGAACCACTTGAGTGAATCCGTCCTTGCTGGATCTTGCTGGCACGTCTTGCTGACTTTTGATGGCTTCATCAGCATGTACGTGCTGGATGGGTGGATGAGGCCCTGACACAGACACTCCATGTATGTATTGCATAGAATATCCTATAAACTCCTATAACAGATAACATAGATTGGGGTGGTTTCAGACATATCTCCAAGGCATGGAATGTATGAGATTGCTTGGGTAATCCCGTTAATCCCGTTCGAGAGCGCACCATCACATCCTGGCACGGACCGCACCCTCACGCATCACCTGAACCCTTCGCGCCCCCAACGTGTCAAGTCAATTCGCCTCTCTCTCGTCGATCGCGCTTCGATCGAGACAGACGCTTCCAAGGTTCGGGGTGTCCTGGAGAAGTACTTGTCCAACGAACGCCCCTTCGCCGCCTCCATCCCGCGCCCTGGTCGCGGCGAAAACGCGCCGGTCGCGTTCGTTTGCGCGCGACCGGTACGGTACTCGTGCCGGTGAGAAAAACCACATGAAAACGCCAATTTAGCGAGTCCCGATGCGGTGAAGATCCGTCATGGATGGTAAACGTGTGGCGCCCCAGCATTATCCATGCCAGTTCAATAGCCAATAGCACTGCACCCTGCGACTCGGTTCAGTCTGGAATTCCAGGTTTTGACCGAGGAAGGCGAACAAGCATTGTTTTACTAAGATCCTTGACACTACAACACCATGTCAACTGAACTCTTTGTTTGGGCTCGCAGGGTTTAGGGTAACAAAGTCAGAGGAGATTTGCAGGGCGCGAGAATCAAAATTCGTGTTGGAGTCATGGTGAAACAGTCGGGTGAACTTTGGATGCACTGCTTCACACCAAGGAAGAAGCAGCCCTATGCGATCCAGACCTGTTTGTGCGTAGCGGAGCGTTTTCAAAGTCGAAAAGTTTTAGTCTAAGTCTAAGTGAATTCCAGTTAGACTTAGACTTAGGCAACCCCCAACAGTCTAAGATAAGTCTAGTGGATTCTTGGTTTGGGGTTGCCTCCAGTTTCGTCGTTGTAAGGTACCACGGGTCCCAACACTCCATGCCAAACACGTCTTCACCGATCTGTCGCCGGACGTCCGGGCCAGGCCGACCGGTTCAGGTCTGTACGTACGAACTGTCGACATGCAGAAACTCATTGACGTAAAAAGTGATTTTGCATGTCAATGCACTCCTGGAATCACCTGATTTTGTATGCTCTCACGAGCTCTTTGTCAAACGTGTGTGTATGTGTATGTGTGTGTGTTTGTGTTCAACTATACTATACTCCTGAGATTTGGACCAACTGGTGTAGGCAGCACGCTGGGTAGGCAGCACGCTGTCCACTGGTGTGGCCAGACAAAGTGGCAGCCATGTGTTTTGGTTCTTTGATGTTCTTTGCAGACGACATGCGGAAATCAGACTGACGTACTTCCACTCTTGACCGAGCTAGGAATTGACACCTCACACAATCCGGGGACTTTTTTGAGCCCTGTGGGGCCCAAAAACACCCAAAACGCCCTGTGAGGTGTAACTTGGGGTGGTCTTTCGTGTAAGGCCAAAGACCTGCTTTGCCTCTTTTTTTAGAGGAGGGGCTGTTGGATCGAGTTGCAAGAAGTGTTTATGAACCGATCACTTCAGGTTGACTCTGGATTTGTCAAACCAATAAACCTCCCAGGCATGGCTTGTAAAACCATTTCAGGCCGGGGGGCGGGGTGAAATATCATCACGAGTCTACATTCCTTTGGACCCGCAGTTGAAACGAAGCCAGGACAAGCTCCTCTTGGAGCTGATTGGGGAGGGCAAGGAGAGCTTGGAGAAGGCCGGGAGAAGCTCCGCCGGGCGCCCGGGAGTCCTTGCAGTGAGGCCCCAGACACTCCATGGACTGGTATATATGCCGATCAGTTGGGGTGGTTTAGGGGATCAATGCAGGCACATATATATATATATATTATACACATATACCATACATAGAGTGTTTGGGGGCCCGTTCTGTTTTCCTTGGCTTCGAAACCATTCTTCTTTTCCCGCTCTTTGCCATGCGGCGCGGGCAATATTCACCCACGGGCCTTTCCCACTGCCAGCCCCTTCAAGACTTCAAGAGGTTGTTTAGCGGAGAGATGTTCACATCAATACCTCAAGCACTTAGGGTTATGTTGTAGCTCTTGAATGCTTGTGTGTCACTGTGTCCATTGTCCATTAATTGTTGTTTCTTGCACATGTGCTTTGCTCATTATTTTCAACTGTGTAGTAGATAGTTTGCAGCAGCAGCTTGATTCATGATCATCAATATGTATGTATTTGCATATCTAAATATGGGAAAACGACTGCCCCCATAAGTCATAATGGATGTGTTGACGATGTTTGAGGAGTGCCCTCAAAGAATTGCTTTGGGTCATTCCCATTCATCACGGATAACACACATGTGTGCGTTTCAAGCAGTACTCAATGCAGAAAACGGCCATGACACACCAGAATGTTTAGCGGTAGGTGGTTGGGACTGAGCCCTTTCGAAAGGCGAGTGTTTTGCAGTTTCTTCAACGTGACCTTTTGAGGGTTTAGAATTTCACCAAGAATCACTTTGAAGAGTCTGGTTTTGATGATTTGGAAGGAATAATAGGCATTAATAGGCCTATACGTGTTTTTTGTTTTTCCGTGTTTCTCCATGGGCAAATGGTGTTTGATGCTGGTTTATTGAACCATGTAATAATGCATATCCACTGGCATGACCCGAAACCAAAGGGACGACTGCATTTTGGAAAGGGACCACCTGAACAGAATTTGTTATTCGCCGCTCAAGTACCATCACAGCGGAACCCGATACAGTTTGGGTTTTCGGAAGCGGTTCGAAGTAATCAGGGGATGGGGAGGCAGGATAGGATGGCCCCAACATGCCTCAACAGTGTTTATTTTTCACCAACCCAGAGGGCAGTGGGTCCCTTTCGTGAAACTGAATTGAACTGATTGGGTATGTTTGGGTTTGTGTTAGAATGAGGCATACCCCCAAACCAATGCGCAAGGTGTCAGTCAATTTATGTCTTAGTGATCCCAGCCTTTCTTTTGGGAAGTCCCTCGATCCAATACACACTCTTCATGGTCTTTCGGTGGAAGAATGGAAACGAGCTCTGTGTGTTTGCATAGGCACAGTATATCGCTTCAGTCTCAGACCAAAAGGTATTGAATTCGAGACCGCTTCGGATTTTTGTTCCGGCGGGACGTTTGACAAGTTGTTTGCCAAATACTACTCAACGAGTTCAAGTAGATCCATGTATTATAGATATCTATAGATCCGCACCTCATCAAACCTACAGTATATAATATAGTCTCTATATATGATGATGTCCAGTCCAGTTGTTGATATTTCTTGATCCTAGAGCCCTGTTGGTCTTGAGATGTCTTGAGATCTCCCTGGTCCTGCCCCCCACACAGCGAAACATTTGAAAGGTGCTCTTCATGATGGTGGCCCACAACAAGCTGGCGGAACGCCGCTTCGATGCATCGCTAAGTGCCGTGGTGTGTCGGTTGTGCGGCCGCCAAGCACGAGCTTTGTAAAACATCTTTCAATACCCTCAGCACAATCCCTGCAAGAGACGTGTTCTTTCTGGTGGAATCAAGGTTTGGCCGAAGCCAAACCAAATACAAGGGTTACCGTGTGTGTTTTGGTGGTGTCCTGGTGCGGTCGTTTTTGCTAATGTTTTAAACATCACGTTCCATGAGCAGGGAACAAACGCGTTGCTTCAGGGTCCGGTAGTCCGGAACGTGGGTGTCGGACGGTTTCGGGGACCCGCCCACTACCTGTCGGACATCTGGATGGATCTCCAGACGGCTCCACCTCGGGTGTTTACCGCCCTGATGCCCAACCAGCCCAGTCGGATGCCGGTCTCACCAGCTCGGCCCAGACTTGCTTCGCCCCAGGTCGGATGAGGTCCGTCTTGGGTCTCCGGAATAGAAGGTCCCGTGGTTTTCTCGATCTTGGAGAGAAAACCATAAAAACCATCAAGAATTTCCAAATCCCAGACACTCATGTATTGTTTATATATTGTTTAATAAACCGTTACCAAAAAGAGATCTTTAGAGGTATATTACATTGACTCCTGGACATCAACGTACCCCTGGCCCTCAGCTCCTGTCTGGATCGGCGCGAGGTGGCGAGGCGGTGATGGCCATTTTGCGCGAGATGGTCGCCGCTGAGGGCTCCGGCATGTCGGGGGTGCCTGGTGGGCCAGGTCGGTTGTGGCTTTGGCCGGTGGTTTGGGCGAAAAAGTGCAAAGGGATAAATAAAGAAATGCAGAGGAAGTCAAGAAGGCAGAAAAGCAGGACCCTCACACCATCGTACACCTGCTATGGAGGGTCTGACCTTTGCCATGGAGGGACCTTGAGTCTATACTGTATGTTCTTCCTGGTTCGGGTGGGACGACGATCTCTTCGGGCTTTCTGTGCATTTCGTAGCGTTTGATTTGATGCCGTCCATCGCGGTCAGCACCTTCACCCAGCCTGTCCTTGTTGTGCCAAACCACACCAGGTCCTGCATGTACGTGCCAGACTTGGGCACCACTGGCGAGATGGACAGCGCGGTGACTGGGCTGATGGACGAAGGATGGCTGG